ACTGTTAAACACTATACTCTTCCCAAAGTTTTTCCGCGACGCTTGACAAAGAAGAATCAAGTTCCATGTTATCTTATGGAAGAAAACATACAGTGTAAGAAGCCTTCCAAACTATCTTCTCTTACTGAAGTCAACCAATATTCACCATGTAATTGGGGGCTAGCAACCATTATAGATTCAAAATAATAGCAAATATCCTCAAAAGTATCAGACGTATAGTACAAATCTGATATATCACCATCATCAACTATGAAATTTAACCACCAAATATAGCACGAGTGGAACAAAATACAAACGAAAAAAATCAAGAAACAAATAACATAGGCTTCAAATTCACTGATTTATAGCACTAACCAGATATCTAAACCCCGATATATTAACAAAAGCTAATGAACTTCAACAAAACCAAAAACAACATAGGTATATCATACACATACAATTATTCTTCAAGAACTCGATCGAGACGAAGAAAATTGAAAAAAAATGTCGGATGAACTAGATCTCACCAAGTAACTAAACGCAGCGAACGACGACATTGGAAGCCACAACGATACTCTGATCAAATATGGAACAGAACTTCAATATAATACGAATCTTCAACAATGAAAGAACATCGATTGTCACCGTCTGGACCTCTAGTAACGAGGACAATGAACAGAACCACAGATGATGCTTCCAATGAGTAATAATTGGACGAAACCAGTACTGATTAACTAGGTTCAGACAAGGCAAATCAGCAGGATTTACACACTTCATTTGGGCAGTTCATCAAACAATTTTTCATCATTATGATTGATAAGCCTCAGTAAATTGAATAATCGGATCTAGTAATGATGAATTCAGAGATGAAGACAAAAACAACAATGGACGAATGAAGCATACGAAGAGAACGACGACCGTTTCTCCGATGACGGACTGATAAAGGGTAAAAAATTGTGATGACAAAATTTGAAAATAACCAACATAAGAAAATTGAAAACTAAAAAAAACAAAAGTAATAAATCATAATGAAATAAAAGAAAATTGGAGAGGCTCTAGTACTTCCATGTATTATCTTCCACCAATAGACATTAGAACTTTGTTACATTAGTCTTGCACATTAAGCTTAACTAAAAATGATGACAACTAAAATGAGGATGAGGAAGAACGTCTTCTAAGAAGGAAACCGTGCTACAGAGAAGAAAAATAGAGATAAAGTATTAGATGATTATTAGTCAGTGGCATGTTGGCATATTTTGTGTTTCCTTGAGTAGCTCAAAGACTTCAGTCATTGAATTTCAAACCTATGGTTGTAACTTTTCGTGCTTACTCAAAAGATCAAATCCTTTCAATACTTCTGGAGAGGCTCTGATACCATATGAAAAAGGAGATATAGGTGGTCAGATGGTGAACGACCGATGACCTGAGTGTTTAATGAAAGTGAAAAGTGGCTAGAGTTAAGTGATGTTAGCCAAACGCATAAAAGAGACGTTATAATTGATAGAATGAAAATGAATATCCTAAGTACTCAAACCTATTACACTGATGGGTATTTATTACCCATACCCAAACTAATCAGTAATGACCCAACATAATATGACTTAACTAATTAACAAACTAACTACTAGTGCTAACTTTCTCCCTGCTTTCTCAGTCTTCTTAAGCTTCAAGAACAAGAAATGAAAATATTCTATTTCTAACGTTCTCCTTGCTTCTCCAAGTTCTTGATCTTTTTTTGAGTTGATTCTTGAACAACAAAAAAATCTTTTATACATTCTAGGTGATTTACCGAGAATCGAAAGTGTCATTTCTTTTGTTTTTCTTTACTCACAATATTTTCTCATTCTTTATTCAAAATTCCTGCAATAATCAAAACTATTTATCTTCTTACTTATTCAGACTTTCTTTTTGGTGGAAGCAGGGCGGTTACCTACAAGCTCTCGGGTTCAATCTGAAGCCTCTCTCAGGAAAGATATCACCTTATTTATCTGGTTAATGAAGAGTTAGACAGTTAAACACAATACTCTTCCCAAAGTTTTTTTTTTTTTTGCTTTATAAATGACGCTTGATTAAGAAGAATCAAGTTCCATGTTATCTTTGGAAGAAAACATACAGTGTAAGAAGCCTTCCAAACTATCTTCTCTTACTGAAGTCAACCAATATTCACCATGTAACAGGGGGCTACCAACCGTTACATATTCAAAACAATAGAAAATATCCTCAAAAGTAACAGACGTAGAGTACTAATATGATATATCACCATCATCAACCATGACATTTAACCACCAAATGTAGCACGAGTAGAACAAAATACAACTGACAAAATCAAGAAACAAATAGCATAGGCTTTAAATTCACTAATTTATAGCACCAAAACCAAATAACCAATCCCCGAAATATCAACAAAAGCTAATAAACTTCAACAAAACCAACATCAACATAAGTATATCATACATAGAATTATTCTTTAAGATCTTGATCGAGACGAGGCAAATCGAAAAAAACGGCAAATGAACTATATCTCTCCAAGTAACTAAACGTAGCGAACGATGACTTTGGAAGCCACAACTAGACTCTGATCAAATATGGAACAGAACTTCAATATGATATGAATCTACAACAATGAAGAACATCGATTGTCACCATATGAACCTTTAGTAACGAGGACAATAAACAAAAACACAGATGGTGCTTCCGATGAGTAAGAAATGGAAAGTGGTATATACAGCAAAACGACGCCAGTACTGATGAACTAGGTTCATACGAGACAAATCGGCAGGATTTACACACTTTATTTGGGCAGTTTATCAAACAATTTCTCATCATTCTGGTTGATAAGCCTTAGTAAATTGAATCATCGGATCCAGTAATAATGAATTCAGAGATGAAGATAGAGGCAACAATGGACGAATGAAGCATATGAAGATAACGACGAGCATTTCGTAGATGATTAACTGATAAAGGGCAAAAAATTATGATGACAGAATCTGAAAATAACCAACACGTCGGAAAATTGAAAACTGAAAAAAGGCAAAAGTAATAAATCAGAGCATAACGAAAGAAAATTTAAGAGGCTCTGGTATTTCCATGTATTGTCTTCCCCAACAGACCTTAGAACTTTGTTACATTAGTCAGTGACATATTGGTATGTTTTGTGTTTCCTTGAGTACCTCAAAGACTTCAGTCATTGAACTGCAAACCTATGGTTGTAACTTTCTGTGCTTATTCAAAGATCAAATCCTTTCAATACTTCTTAAGAGACTCTGATACCATGTGAGAAAGGAGATATATGTGGTCGAATGGTGAACGGTCGATGGTCTGAGTGTTTAATGAAAGTGAAGAGTGGCTAGAGTTAAGTGATATTAGCCAAACACATAAAATGAAATTTATTATTGATAGAATAAAAATGAATATCCTAGTACTCAAACCTATTAAATTGATGGATATTTATAACCCATACCCAAACTAATAGATATTTATAACCCATACCCAAACTAATAGATATTTATAACCCATACCCAAACTAATAAGTAATGGCCCAAAAGAATATGACCTAACTAATTAACAAACTAATTGTTTGTGCTAACAAGGCGGCGGTGAAAATGGAAGCCGGAGGCGGCGGAGGATGATGAAGAGGAACGAACGCATGTAAAACGATTCCAATCCGTGCTTTGGAATGATTTTCGACGAGGGGAAAGGAAATATTTATATGATTATTGGGGAGTACACGTGTGGGCTGGAATCGCGTGAAGAAAAAGTGAGATAATAAAAGGCGCGTGGAAGAAACAGAGAGTGGTTGGCACATGTTACACGATTAATGACTTATGAGTAAAAAGCTCACAAGGAAAAAAGAGTGTACGTTGTTTCTTTTTGTAATAAAAAGTTTATGTTAATAGTAAAAAGAATGTATAACATTTTCAAAATTTAAAAACCTAAACACAATATTGTTATCTATTTTAACATTTTAACAACTGAAATTATTAAATTGTATCGAATGATCAAATTTTTTTAAATTTTAAGACAATGAGTTCATAGTTAGATCTAATTATAGACATAATACTAATAAATATAAACAATAAATTTATATTGGTGTCATGCTAAATTTGGGGAAACAAAATAAATATTTAAAACAAATAAGCTGAAAAAGAAATAAATTTTGGCTTTTATGTTTTGAGGTGATAAAATCTTCTGATTTAAAAGCTAATCAAACAAAATGGGAGTCATGTGAGATTCAGATTGATTCTAAGGGAAGAATATGTGGGGGGGGGGGGAATTAGTCCAACAGAGTGGCCTGCAAAAGACATGGAATTTCGAACAACAATGACTTTTGAAATTACACTATTGGACTTGCCATCAATTCAATGAAAAAATAATCTGAGTTTTTTGTGCTCTTTTTGCTCGTACCTTTTATTCATTCTTGATTAGTGAAAAAATAGTTCAGCGATGAATGATGTAATTTACCTATACAAAAGTGTCACGTGTAAAATGCATGTTAAATTTTTAAAGTGATGTACTAAAATAAAACAAAATTAAAAGTTAAGTACAATTTTGATAAAAAAATTGAAAGTTTAGATATTAAAATAGACTAAAATTAATAGTTTAGATGCTAAACGCGTAATTTACCAATTAATTGGAAAATTTACTTATTTATCTTATATCTTGACGCATTTAAAATGCACACAATCACGTATGATGTGTGTTGATTTGCATAACATTACATTATCTTAATAATATGATTAATGTAGAGGCAAAGCCAAGCTATAATTACCAAAGGTGTTAATCGTTTTTGGTAACTGGTAGTGCTGGAATGCCCCCCTATCGAAGATGAAAACAATTCAAAAAGACAGACAGGGTAAATTAAGCATAAAGAAGACAACCAAACAGATGGAGTGAGTCGCATAAATTCCAGATACATGTGATTCCAAAGAGAGATAACATATCATCATGACTTTTACAAACAAAATTTGATAATACCTTACAAAGCTACGAATTTTGATGAAATTTTCAATTTGCTATTGTAAGGGATAATAGATTATTGCATTATTATTGGACCTATACCTGACTTGAATATGTTGGTTAGAGCACTTTCGACTTCGCCGGAGCTGTGCTCAATCCCGATAAGATCTACCAACAGGTGATACAGATTTGCCATGTATTTTCTTAAAGAATCTCTTCCCAAACCGCTCAATGCCTTCAGTGCTAATACCAGTAAACACCTTCTAGCTGCCAGTTCTTCCTTTTTACCTAAAGCCAATGGAACACTCCTATGCGTGACCGGAGGTTTCGCCTCTGATTTCCGCTGTTGCATGTAGTGGTAGTCTGCATGGTTGAGATATATCTGAAATATTTTTTCACATACCGCCACAAGTTGTGATTCTAGGTTCATCTCTGCGGAGACTGACGTGTTGCTTTTTATAGAATCTTGGAGGAAGTAGAGGTAATTTTTGTAAGCCTTGTTCTCGAAGTGAACTGTAGGAGGATCAGTGAGCTCCAAGATTGAGCATGCAACTCGTATTTTCTTTCGAAGAGTAGTCTCAGCGTTCAATTGCTGAGCATGTGATGCAATGGAAGAAAATATCTCGACAACGATGTCGATGTTTGCAGCTGACAAGAACTGTACATGTTTTTTGCACGAATCTTTTATAACCTGAAATGGTGAAAGACAAAACAAATATGATTTCGTCACATGTTCCTATGGCATTCTAAAATCATCAATTATTAGCCTGCAATAATATAGCGAGTAATCGGAACCTGCGACATGAGCAGCTGGAGTGCGATATGACTCTTCATTCCTGAAATCACAGAGGCCATGGTTTGCCGATTATCATCCTCAAGATCCTTAACATCATCATTGATCAATTCATCATCGGAGCTTGTTTCAATATTAGCATAGGATTGAGCATTGGCAGGCAATTTGAAGTCATCCATGGTTCTTATAAGTGTTATAAACTCTGACATCGTTGATGCGACTGCTTCTTTAAAAGCTAGAAACATTTTTCTCCATTCATCTTCAGAAAATCTGCTCCCTAACTCTCGTGTCAAACGAGATATCGCTGTAACTGCAGTGTTTGCAGAACTCTTCATTGAGCTTCTTAAGTACTCTATCAAAATCGATATCACATTTGATATTTGAGGCCTCAGTACACTGTGATGACAAATAAAAAGATCTACTAAACAGCGTGCGGCCAATTCAGAAATTTCAGTGTCCCATGTACTTCCATCAGGATGCGGGGATTTTGAAGTTGGTGAATCCTGCTTGTCTTTTACTGCCATGTCACTCTTTTCGCATGTGCCATTAAATATTGGGAGAACGATAGAACTAAAAACACTAATCCAGAATGTTTGTGAGAAAAGATGACCATGATCCTTGAGGATGTTAAAAAGCACATTTAACGAACTCTTTTGGATGGCTGGTCTCGAGTCTGATGTTAGTTTTGATAAACCTGAAACAACATATCAAAGTTCTATAAATTGGAAACAGGAACAGCACTTCATCTTTGCAGAATTGAAAAACCAAAGGTGCTAACAATCAAATTGCCATTCAGAGAGATGTAGATGAGATATATTGGCATTCAAGCAATAAGAGTATTACATAAACTGGGTGTAATTTTGATGGAATATATATGCAATCCAATCAGGTGTGGCAAAAAAGACCTCAGTGCAGATTAATAGTTGAAAGGTAGCCACAACAGTGGGATGTAAGCAAAGGAAACCACGGAAGAAAGATTCCGGGCAATGATATAATCAACTATACTTATCACTTGGGGCTTTAAGGGAAAGCGATTGTGATGGAGCAAAAAGAAAAATGCAACAAGGGAAAGATGACATACAAATGTGTTCTAGTTCTACTATTACAGTAACAGCTAGGTTTTAGGATTTGCAAGCAACTAAACTGGCAGGTTACCTGTTAGCAAAGGAACCCAACAGGATACATAATCATCAATATCAGTCGAGCTTTGTACACCTGGATCATCCTTATCTACAACTGAAACAGATGAATCATCATCCGAGCTCTTGCCAGTGCGACCAAGTTCTCCCTCAGCAATGTTGAGGGCACAGAACCGGAGAAATGCAATAGCATTGAGGCTAATATCCCCATTAAACCTGCTATTTGTGAACTTGATGAGGCATCTTACACATTCTGTAAAAGTGGTTGCCTCTGTTTCAGTCACATGAGGAAAGTGTTCTCGAACTATTTTTCCCATTGTCTCGAAAGCCAGCAGGGCAATGTTCTTCTGCTCATCTGCAGCAGCAGCTGTAAAAACCTGAGAAAAAAATGACAACTGAGAGAAAAGAAAGGCTATCAGAGCTGCACGACAATTGATATCTTGTATGAGCCCTTAGCTTACCATAAAAACACTTCTCCATCCAGATTTGACATTACTAGCGCGGCTGAGGACCATCTGAGAAATGAATCGAACAATTAATTCCCGTATTTCTGTAGATTCGCTCTTCTCCATAACAATCACAAATGGTCTCAAGAATTCATTCTGGAAGTTGTAATTTGCAAGCTCCTCGTGTTCTAAGAATTTCATAGCAAGCTGCCACAATGAATCCATCACAAAAATTGCTACAGACAAATTCTTGGACAATCCAACTGAAATAAAGAAATCGGAGAGAACATTCCACATGCGAGACCAAACTAATCTGATGCGGTTCATATTGTAATGCCTGAAATAGAACATTGCAGAATAAGAAATTTCCATAGGCACACAAAGGAGGGGTGATGGAGAGATGAATGCATCAGAGAGAGACAGCAAATTTATCAGTGAGGCTAAAAAATCGAGATAAGTTGGAGCTACCATTAAAGGAAATTTATATTGAAAGAAAAGGTAAGACTCTTACACAATTTCAACTAGTTTTGTGAAGCTAAAAACTCGAGGATCCGTCGGAGACTGCAACTCCGACATAGAAACTTTGCATAGGGCTTTCACAAATGCAACTATTCCTTCACTATTTAACCTTTGGCTATGTTCAAAAACATGGTTCAACTCAGAATTTCCTATCTGTTCTAATAGATTCAAGTTTGCAATGAGTTGATTAATCTGCTCTGGAGGTGCAAGTCCAGAACTATTGATTCCAACAGTGGTGCTATCATATGAACCCCCTCGGAGAACTGCTATTACAGCTGGATTCCGGATGCTTCCTTTTTTCTTCAGAGATTGAAGACCAACAGATTTTGCTGTCTTTTCATCTGTTTCTGTGCTAGGCACAAGTAAAAGGCCTGCATCAGCTGGTGCCCCTTCTCCCAACAGTTGCAAATGTTCTATTCTGGACAGGCATGTCAATATATGCTCCCAGGCTTCCTGAAGATGGTTACCATCTTCAATGGCTATAGATATTATTGCCTGTATAAAGTGAAATGTTTCAACGAGTACCATAAACATGCAACATGCAGAACTAACAAAATTTGATGCCTTAATTTTTCAAACCTACTTTTCTCACAAACAAGTGAAGAACTTTTTCTATTCAACCATCAGAACTTATGTTAATTTTGTTCCATTTCAACCTACTAGACTATCAATGTTGCACAACCAAGTAACACCAAGAAAGCATATAAGTATTATGCAGATAACAAATGAATTTTTTGGTATCTGTAGTGGAGGCTGTATGTGCAGGCATTCAGATGCAACAATTCTAATGTACACTGACGTATCATATGAGAAAACCAGGGGGAGATTCCATTCTTTGTTATCAAAATGTGAAAAGAAATACTACTTACCTTCACAGCATCAACATTCTTTTGTTTCATATCTGCAGCACAGTGGAGAAAAGTGAACTTCGCTGCAGATGTGACAAAAGCATCTCTCTGTGTCTGCATACCCATTACTGCAGTTACATGCACAGCATATCGAAAGCCATGTAAGCATTGAGTGGTAGCAAGTCTATCATCACTTTGGTCAAGAGTGACACTAAATGCAGCCAGCATTGGTCCCCAGCAGACCTCCACCATAAACCTCAAGATTCCTACATCTGAAACAACGTGATAAACAGACCTGCAATAGCAAATAAAATAAGGCTACAGTTATAAATATTATGTAATATGAAGTACGTCTTCGAGAATTTTTGGGGTGATAAAAGAAAAAAGTTCAATTTGAAAACAGAAGACGGAGAGATTATCTAGTGGGCCATACAAGAACTGAATCCTTTTTTTTCTTCAGATGCAAGTTGTTTATTTATCTGACTTGTATGCCCGGGATCAATTAAAATCCAATGAAATCCAAGCATCTTATCACAACCAATGACATGCAGAAGAATGCAATATAAACAGCAACCCAAAGACAATGATATAATTGTGATTTTGCAGTTCCCGCTCCCTCTACCACTGATATTCACCTTGATTTGGGAATGAATGATTAGCAATCCGCAGCAATTAAACTCACAAGAGTGAATGATATGTAGTCTTGTATTTAGATTCAATTTACAACCTGTAAATGTTTTTCTTCTTTTATAAGTAAATGATTATAGAGTGTTAAACAATTACTATTTTTTCTGGTAAGTCGAGCAAACACTGAGTAAAGTTCTACTATCCCTCTAATCATAATGTGGAAAATCATCTGAAGTGCACGGATAAATGGTACAAAGGAAGAATACACTGTCAAAACTCAAAACTATCAAATTGAAACTATGATCCAAGACAAAACTGATATGACCCATACAAGTGGCAAATTTCTACTATTCCTTGCTCACCAATCAACTTCAAATGAGTAAAGTTTGAAAATTAGATTAAGAACTTACTCGGATTTTCCTGTCTTTGCCTTAAACTGCTCTTGTATATGTCTTATAAGAAGCCCATTTGCACCCAAAGGCTTTTCTTCCGTTTGCTTCCAACTGACCAGATTGAGTATACCATCCAAACCCAATAACTTATTTAAGCTGTTTGCCTGCTTGCTATGAGGAGCAGAAGAATCAGCATTCATCTTAATTTCATTTTTCACAATCTGATCATAGAGAGCTCCCAGATATTCCTCAGGTAAATCCTTGCCATCATCTATTCCTCGGTTGTTTCGAATGAAATCAGACTTGGTCATCTGACAGAAGCAACGTATAATAGAAATGAGAACATGATCAAATCTATTATAACTTTATCCATAAAATTAAAACCGCAATTTGTAAGAGTACAAGGAAAAGTCATTACTATTGACAGGAATAATTTTGACGCAGGGAATGACTTATGAGCCTAGAATATATCAAAAAGGTTCTTCGCAGGACACATATATGTAAGCTAGCATGTAAAGCAAAAGCTCATAATTTACGGTAAGCTGAAGAAACAAAAACAGCTTTGACAAGCAAACCTTATCTTTGACCATGTTATTATGGGCGTCAGTGTTGAGCATTATGACAGAGTATGCCAGTACATAGGCAGTATCTGCACTCGTAAATGAGTTTGGATTGCATTTGCAATAGCGCTCAGCAAACTTCTCCATGATGCGGTCAATTTTCTGTGCCTCTCCAGGTAACCTGAAGCCACGCAGGAAGAACCTTATCGCTTCACCAAAATCCATAGATTTGAAATTAAATGAATCCACATAAGCATGCATGACTCTCAAAGCAAATTCCTCCCTTTCACCCAAATAATCACCGATTACAGTTTCACTAAGCCCGGTAGTGTTATTCTTCAGAAAAGAAGCCACTTCCTCTGGAGAGTTGCCAACTTTTTTGGTTTTTATAAGAAACTCGATTCCTTTGGATGGCTTCCTGTTAAATAATGAGACACCTTTCTGCGTGTAACCCAGTAAAGTTGTCAGTAAAACAAAGCTTGTAGAGAAAAGGAGAGAATACACATAAAATTAAGCTGCATAAAAATACATGACTGAATAGAAGTGATCGTAATATGGCAAATTATCATAATATATGAAGGCAGCCTCTGTGACAATTTCGGTACTAGATAAATATGTGATACTTTAAGAAACAATAATGCTCTGTCCCAACATAAAGAAATAACTAACCTGGAGCTCAATCTTGTAAGCCCGGCACTGCTCAAGCGTAGCAGCATGTGACAATTCATAACTCATTTCTGGGTTAAACTCACAATCAGGGAGAACACCATCTTCTGAAAACGAGGTTGATTGTCTCTCTACTGCAGAATCACTCTCAAAGCTCTTGGGCAAGTCAGAATCACCTATCTTTAGCTGTTGGTCCATCCATGCTCCCATTGCTTTAATGATGCCAACCAAGCACAGCACTGATTCATTCCGGAGAGAAAAATCCTGGACAGTAGACAAAGTTGTGGTTGAACCAGGCGGCGGCCCTAGAGAAGTTTTCAGGAGGCCATTGACAATCCTGCAAATATCTGATGGAATTATAAGAGTTTTAATACATTGTATAAGTATGATACATTAAGAAATAAAACTCTTATAAAGTATGATACATCAAGTACCATTAATTGATTGATGTTCTCAGTGAATACTTTTTCTTCTTTTTAAACAAATTTCATACTTTTTTTAATTTCTTTTTCTGAATTTTCACTTGAGCAAAATATATTAAAAATATTATAGTTCTGTCATATGTGAAATTTCATATGAATTGAAAGTCTTCTCCTAAATTTTGTATAAAGAATGAAGGTCAACATAGGAATTAACTTCAGCACCAAGCTCTGAGAAATCATCAAAGACTGGTGCTGAAGTTAATTTCTATGTTGACCTTCAATCTTTATACAAAATTTAGGAGAAGACTTTCCATTCATATGCAATTTCACATATGAAAGAACTATAAAATTTTAAATATATTTTGCTCAAGTGAAAAATCAGAAAAAGAAATTAAAAACGGTATGAAATTTTCTTTTGAAAAAGAAGAAAAAGTATGCACTGAGAACATCAATCAATAAATGGTACTTGAGTTAGTTCCAATGTTGACCACCTTCCTTTTTCAAAAATTGATAAAGGTGTCAAATTCATGAAAGACTTTATATGTAATTTTGGATGCTTCTATAGAAAATTTAACATGACAAACACACTAGGGGAGACAGAAGCAGCATTCTTTTCAAACACTTGCATTAACAATTATTAGGAAAAAAAAAAGAATACCTTTCAAATATGTTCGGTGAATCCACGTCACAATCATAGTTCACAAATATATCAATGATAATCTGTGAATCCCCAGCAATCTTTTCCAACAAATTGAGGACAGTCATTTTCTGTAGAAAACTTGGCTGGAGTATATTCTCTAGAACACGAAGGATAAGCATAGGAAAGAATATTCCAATTTCAGCTTTCAAACCTGATCTAAATTTTTTTAACAAGCTCATAAAAATAGAACACTGAAGCTGGAAAACTGACATTACTGACAATGCAGTGTTTTTTAACAACGATATGCAGAGATACTGCTTAATAGCGTTAAGAAACCTGCATGATGTAACACGGAATACAAGAACACCAGAATAAATTTAACTGAAGACTGCATAAAAACAAGTAAGTTATTTATCACAAACACTACATGACGTATAAAACTTGCAAGAAAAACAAATAAATTAAAAGAGAAATAATTGACGGTTTATTTGAAGCCTTTATCTTATTATTTTGTAAATTAGCAAAGCAATGATTCTTCAGATAATTCCTCCCACTACCCTGTGTATATATGCACTAGAAAAGAAAGTAATTTGGGAGTTATATTGCGCAGAATTGGGAGTACAGTAATCTTCTATTAACTGTGTCTAACACAGGTTCATTCAGGATTTCTTAAGTTCCCTCTTGCTTGGTATCAAGACCCCATAGCAATGTCGAATTTGAGGTGTTGGATATGTGTCCTAGCATGTTTAGGAATATGAAACCTAAATATCTTTTCATCTACTCAATCATGTAACACCCACGTCTTGATAAAATACACAAACATCCAAAGACTAAATGTTAAATACCATTTTAAAGCTCCTAATACAATAGTCATAGTAAAATGAGACCAAGAACTATGTGAAGAAAAAAATAGTTAAGTCCCAGAGTAACATGGCACCATGCAAGCAACCATAACAGCTAATCATATCAAATAATAAGTTTGTCTTAAAAATGGAAATGAAAGACCAGAATCCTACTTGAACTGAGTATAGAATGACTTGCCTCTCATTTGTGCGCCAAATTGGACCCCCATTGTCCATTATAACCTTGAGGAGTTCCAAAGACAATGTTTTCCCTCTCAAAAGGACCTGATCGTCCGTATTCTCCACTGTGGAAATCTTCATGGACAACTTACACAAATTCCTAAAAACATGAAACCCATCCTCCCTAATTTTACTACTAACCACACCAGAACCTGATTCCGTCCCTTCCTTCATCTCTTCCTCCTCAACCTCCTCATTTTGCTCCCCTTTCGACCACTTAATCTCTCCATTTTGCAACTCCCGAACCATAATCGGCTGAGAAAGCTTCAAATCTGGAACCCCTTCGCTAGCATTCATAACATCGCTAATAAAACTCTGACAGTTATAAATTGAGCTTCCTTCATTCAAATTCTTATCAGTGAACTCTACAAGTTCATTAACCGACACTGTTTTGATTGAAATGTCCATGGAATCTTCTTCCGCTCGGGAGAATACAATAAGCATAATCTGAGCTAAAATTGACTTAGCACATACCTGATTGGTTCCGGTTAAACTACCTAAATATACGTTATAACAAGTTCTAACGACGTGAATCAAGCAATTGCCACGTATCAAAACGCAAGGGCATCGAACGGCGGAGAGTAAAACACGTAGCACAGGAAGCTCGACCGATTCATCACCAATGCCACCCAGTTTGCAAACGCTTTCGACAATTTTGTACAGGATCGGATTGGAGGCCTTGCTATCGATCTCGCCGCGAACGATGCCGAGAGAGAAGAACAATTTGAATATACATTCGAGTGCCGGCTCGGCGACTTTGATGTAATTCGAGTCGAGGGCGAGGAGGATAGGGGCGAGGACAAAATCAGCGTCGGACGAGGAAATTCCGAGTACATGAGACTTCGGATCGGATAATCCGGTGTCGGAGAGAGTGTCAAGCTTCTCGAGAGTGGATTTACACGAAGAAACGATGTGAGAGTGTTTTCGCCAAGCGGCATTTTTGATGATCTTGTCGAGAGATGGTCCCAAAACGCGGCCACATCTCGACGGACCACCGAGCGTTTGGGAGACTGACATCGCGGCCCTGAACTAATGGTGTTCAAATCGGTGAAATATCGCATCGGCGTTGGTTGAAATGGAAATCCATTAGGAACTAAAATGCCTGAGAAAGAATCAAATCAAATAAAAAGAAACATATAGAGAGAGAGCGAGGCAGCGGCGGGTGGGGAGCCTATGTTCTTCACTTCTATTTTGGAAATAACTAAATCTTCGCGCCACCGTACACGCTTTACTATTTTATTTTGAACTTACATTTTCAATCACATTCAGCACATTTCCGTAAAAAAAAATCAGCATTGTAATTCAAATTAAAATAGATAAATAAATTAGTATAATAACGATTAAATGTAATTACTATAACTCTGGGATTCCCAGCACTCTTCTGACCGCCAGGGTGTCCTCCCACACTACAGTCACTCAAGATTTTCAACACTTTCTTCAACTTTGGGCTTCGGAACCTCGGTTTCCAAGGCCCGGAGTTCACTTGGAATCAAGGTCATGTTTATGCTCGCCTTGACAACACACTTCGCAATTCTCTTTGGGACGAACAATTTCCTGAAGCTTTTGTTCATCGTCTCTTTTGGATTCGCTCTGATCATCGCCCTTCCTCCTTTGTGTTGGTAATCTGGGTCGCATCTCTATTCCTCGTCAAGTTAGATATTTCTCGGGATGACTCTCCATGATAATTTCGACATAATGGTCCATGATAATTAGAAACCGGCTTCAAGCATGTTCAAAACCATCTCTAACTTTATCACTGAGGCTGAGGATTGGAACAAGAATGTCTTCGGTTATATTGGTAAGAAGAAACGTATCATCATGGCTTAGCTAAGGGGTGTCCAACGAGCTCTGGAGCGAAGACATACTGCTTACCTCTCAAGCTCCAAACTGAGCTGGAGTTTGTTCTTGATCAGGAGGAACTCATGTGGAAGCAAAAATCTAGATCGGACTGGATTATTCATGGAGGCAGAAATACAAAATACTTCTATCAAAAAGTTATCCAAAGGAAAGTTAAGAGTCGTATTTCCTGCCTCTGTCTTGCTGATAATGAATGGTGCTACAATGATATGAGACTTCAAACAGAAGCTATATTGATTTCTTTCGATCTCTCTACTCTCACACAGAGAGCCATCTTGGACCTTTTTCGCTTACTAGCTGCTTTCTTCCCATATCCCCCACCGACCATATTACTTTGGATTCGATCCCCTTCGACGAAGAGATCCATTCTGCCCTCCTTGATATGGCTCCGCTGAAAGCTCCTGGGCCCGATGGTCTTCATGTAGAATTCTTTAAGAGGAATTAGCACAACATCGGCCCAAAGGTCTGTCCCATGGTCCAAACAATTTTCAGTGGCAATACGATTGAGCCATCCTTTAACTGAACAATCATCGTGCTCACTCTCAAGGTGGAGACTCCCCAAACAATAGTTGTCTTTCTCCCCATTAGTTTGTGTTCTGTTCTTTACAAGCTCATCACCAAAGTCATTGTCAGAATACTGAAGCCCATCATGCTTCGTCTATTCCATCCTGCTTAAACAAGCTTTATTTTAGGGAGATCGATAAGTGAGAACATAAATCTCAATCAAGAAGTTATTCATTCCATCCAAAACAAGAAAATAAGTTAGGGTTGGATGACAATAAAGGTTGACTTAGAGAAAGCTTTTGACAGAGTGAAATGAGATTTCATCCATGAAACTCTCATCGATGCCGGTATTCCTCCAAGACTTTCTCGGATCATTCTGGGTTGCATCTCTTCCTCCTGTTGGGGAAATTGGGTTATTTCCCACACGAACTTAGTTTCAAAATTAATCTGAAATGTCAAGAGAAAAACCACCAAAAGGTTGCACAGCGGACAAACCCGTCAAACTATTGAATATTGAAACACAATGGAGAAACCGAATAAAGAACAATAAAGGAGAGAACATACCAAATTTACGAGGTTCGATGAAAATATCGTCTACTCCTCGGGTACCACATCAGATGATAACTTCACTATCAACAAATATTACAACAAATGAAATTCTTTAGAATTCCCAAAGTGAGAGAATGAAGAAAACAAATGGAAGAGAGAACTTGTTTTGAAATACTTAGGCCTATTTAAAGTTGAGTTTTAAGGACTAAACTTATAAATAACATGATATTTTAGGGACCAAATATGAAATTCCCATGTACACAAGTTGGCCACTTACCAAAGATGAATTTTCAAATGTGTACAAGTTAGACACCAACCAACTTGTCAACTTTGCCAACTTGCCAAATTTGACAATTTGCAAGCCAAACATAATAAATCTTCACATTGGCTTGAAATTACCAAGCCTCTTCAACTTCTTCAACTCCCCAAATTTGATGAAGTTATTTTAATGTAGTGCCTCTAATTACGCTCACAAGCGCCACACAGTCGATGGTGTTCATACTTTCAGGATGTTAATCAAGTTCAAACAATCATTGAACTTGATTACTGTTACCACCTTGGTCATCATATATGCAGGATTTTCTGCTATTGCAATTTTCTAAAGTAGAATCTTTCATTCTTCAAAGATCTCCTGCACAAAGTGATACCTCATGTCGATATGCTTAGTCCTAGAATGGTAGACTTGGTTTTTCGCTAAGTGAATAGCACTCTGATTGTCACAATAGAGACTAATGTGACTTTGAATAACTCCCAAGTCTTCCATCAACCCGTTAAGCCAAATTGCTTCCTTCACAGCCTCTAAAATTGTCATGTATTCTGCCTCTGTAGTAAAGGGAATGGTATTTAAGGTTCACATTCACCATTCCCTTGTTGAGTGATAGAGAACAAGTCGTGGTAATACATGTCTTTGACACATCCGCACGAATACTATCTTTTTAGAGAAAATTCGTAAGGAATTTTTCTCTGAAAGATTAAATGAAAATGTGAAAGATTCATCTGATATTTATATGCTACTAAGAATGTTAAAGTTATTTTCCTAAATTAAATCAGAACTTTATGCAATGAACTTGGACTCTTTTTTAGATGGATTCATCAAGATATTTAGGAGTTACAAAAGGGTTTAAATTCAGAATTAAAATTTAATTTAATTTGATTTTCTTGTTGACGAATTTACCCTTACTTCTAGCTATAAATAGAGAGCTGAATTCAGCTTCTCAGCTCACTCTCTACATTCAGAATTCACTCTCCAAGTGTTTTTTAAAGTTGTTCTTTTTGTGCTTTCCGATCAGAAGTGCAATACCACCAGCAGTCTACTCCGGTTTCAGGTGTACGAAATTTGGAGTGACCGTGTTAACCTCGGGGGATGATCCGCCTATTGAAGCGATTACACACATCGGAGCGAATTCGTTTCTAAGGCAGTGGTTAATACCATGACAAGGTTAATCAGTTCTTTATTTATATATAATTTTGCAGCAGTCTATTTTACTAACAATTTAGAAACGAATTCGAGCTGTTGCATGATATTTGTAAAATGAATGATGAAACCACATGTTGGATTCGAGTTTGTGTGTAAGTATGAATTCAAATATCGGTTCAACATTGCATCAAAGTAGCACGTAATATTTTGATACAGATTATTATTATCGTGGTTCGATGCAGTCTGATGCAAGTGACGATGCCATGAATTTTTGTGGTTTCAATGTTTTAATGCTTGAATTATTAATATTTATGTGCTTTCAATGTTTTAAAGATTAGTTGTTATTTGATGTAACAGCATGCTTCATGATTTTAAGATGGATATGCGTTAGGTACATTTGAAAGCAATTATAAATATTTTTAACTTCAATCAACGTCCTATAAAAAATGCTTTATGAAGTTTAAAGGATAACAATTTTATTATTAATTGCTAGTTTTTAATATTGTGTTATAAGCATTTATGCATGATAATATGTTATCATGATTAATTTGGAACGTTGATGTTTGATGTACATCAGCTGAGTATGCATTAGTAGTATTTTTTAGTTGATGATTCATTTGAATTTTAAATGGATTAATGATTGAATAAAAAAATTAAAAATATTCATGTGAGTTGTGAATAGATATTTATTAGAAATTATAGAATTTTAAATGCTATTGTGAATAATAAATGTATATAAGTTATAAAATTTATGATGGTAACTTATGTGAATAAATGTTTTTGACATTTGCATTGTTTGCATTTATAAATGCACAATAATATATTAATCATGTGGTTTGAGATATTAATATTAAATTAATACATCATCAAATTATAAATTGATGATAGTTTATATATGGGTATGAGAGATAATGCATGTGTGATATTTGGTTCATGTGGAGATATTAAATAACTTATTCCCATGTGGGGGTAATATAGTTCTTGAAAACTAAGGTGAAAATAATTATAAATTTTTTTTACCGTATTAATAATTTTCTTTGAGAAATTTGTAAAGATACAGGAAATGTGTAATATTTGGAGAAATATGGAGCTGGTAAAGCTGAAATGAGAAGATTCTCCAAAATCGAATAGTTGTTAAATTTGATTTGATTTCCACAATCTCTTGAAGATAAGAAACCAAAATCCTAAATATAAGGATCTTGTCACTATCAAATTATTGTTAGTAAATTAATTTCGTGACTAACCATGTATATTCTTCATTTGACTTTAGAAGATTCAAAAGAGATAATGGTTCAGATGAAGAGATTGTCACGATGGATTTTGGGATCATGCTGATTAAAAAATGATGATGCAAAGAATGAAGTTTGTATGCATGGTGAACAAGTCTATTTGGAATTGTGATTATACCATACTTGTTGCCTGTTAATTCATGCCTTTTAAATACATGAATAAGATTGCATGAGCCTTTAAGATAGTCTTTAAAACTCAGTGGATACTATGAAATGAGATAAAACCACTATTAAAGACTAAAGTAGTACTAATAAGGCTAAGGCAGTAGTGTGAGCCCAAAAAATAAATATGCTTAATAAGATACTATTGTGAATAAAAGTATCAAGCATAAATCTTTAAGAAGCCTTAAGAAAGAGAAAATCTATAATAATTTATTGGAAAGTAATGTGCTGAGTATGAAAGTGCATGTCTAGAATTGGTTATATGGAGACTTGGTATTTAAGTGTGCCTAGTGCACCACCTCTCTTTCATACATGGTGCATTGTTCATTACTATGCTCACTATTGCAATACTATGACAAGATAAAACTCTTAAAACTTAGTGCAGAAGTTAAAAGAGTAGAGATTAATTTGGTTAAGTGGAATACCAAATTTAGACATAGTAAATAAAATATATGATGATCTCTTTA